CTGGCAATCTCTTCTATCAAAGGCTATTCCAGTCCTTGGGAGTAAACTCAGAGCTGCATCTGATTTGAACTGACGTGGTCAGCTAATGAGCTAGTTATGCCTGATGGCTTCTTACAGAGGAGGTGAAACTAAAATAAGGGATCATAATTGTTTTAATGACAATGTTTGGTATTTTACTGACTTCTATCCATAGGCATCCAGAGCAGTTCTTAGGTACTTGAGCCACTTATTTTGCTGCCCCACTCCCAGCTGTGCAGGAAAAACTGTTTTATAGCATCATGAAGTGATGAAGTTTAGGGAATGGTTACAAGTTAAAACTAGTATTGCCAAATTATTGAAATCAGTGTGGTTTATATTTGCATTTACAAAATGTACAGCAAATGTGGGGCATTCTGACAACACCCATTTATAATCTCTGTCATAGCCTGTCATACAACAGGCTAACATTTTAAATAAAATCTCTATTTAAAGGCAGTTGATATTTTAAATAGCAGAAATGAAATGTGCCTAAATTTCACAATTTTTTTTACTTTTCAGCAGATCTATTCAAAATTTAATTGTTCATGGAAAAGGCATACCAATATAATATATTATCACAGGAAAAGAATGATGTATACATTTTATTTTCAATCTTATAAAAATTTTTCATTTTAAATTTTTCTGGATTATCCCTAGTCCCAGTATCTCAGAATCAGAAGTGCCACAATGGTTTTAATTTAAAAAACAAACAAAAAAAAGGAAAAAATATGAGTTAAAAAGAACTGAATGATCAGAGTTTAATGACTCTCTTTTGAGGGAGGCCTATGGGCAAGAGACATCCACAGTGAGAAAAAACAAGCAACTTGGAATTCAAGTGTTTTCATTGTAGTTTAATTATAACATTTCTTTCTGACTGGGAAATAGAGTAATCAGGAGGTTTTTAGTATACATGCTATATAATCCATGTGATCATCAGCCACTGCTGTATTGGCATCACAATAGTAGCAACTTGGGCATCACATCAGCTACATATGGTGGATCCTCTTGAGTTTATAGACCTCTCAGCTCTGGCCAAACCAGAGACACAGCAACAACAAGACAGCAATTGCTCGTTTCATGGCTGACTTCTGTGAATTTGGGAATTGGGCAGTATGAATTGAGAGGAGTGTGAACCAGCCCAGGGAAGAGCAAAAGTTCTTATTCACATGTTTAGTAGTGTTTTCAAGGAAATGATAGGTTCTTCTGAAGTGATAGTTGATAAATGTAGAAACAGAAGCTCTTGAAGATTAATATAATTAAAATGATTGAACTATTTATTTTCATTACCAAAAGCCAAATTTTTGTTGCCAAAGTGTACAACATGGAAGCCACTGCAGACATGTTGGCTTACTCTGTTAGCAGTCTTAGGAAACATGTTGAAAGTTGGAATTCCAGAAAGATTTGGTCATCCTCTCCCCTTAGTGAAGGCAGTCCAGTCCATTCAGGTGAAGCTGTGATTCACAGCCAGAGAAACTGGCAGTACAGCTGGTCATAATGCTTATCACTGTATGTAGGTAACATCTTTTATGAGAAATGTAAATTTGGCACATACTAGGTGTCCATTTTAAAATGTCTTAAAAATACAGACATGCACTTGGGAATCTTGCACCAAGTCTTCCTTGGCTGTAAAAATAGGAAATTTTGGTGGGTTTTTTTCTGTTCACACTTCATATTACTCTACAGCACTTGCAAAGTTGGGTGGATGCACTATATACTCCTTTTCTACTCTAGCAATATTTTGTTCTGACATTGATACATGGTCCACAGAATCAGTGGAGTTGCTTTCCTTCTCAGCAACTATACCAGCTATACCAGGTAAGCAGAAAGTAAGTTGATTTAGAGCATCAAACCAGCATGAGTTTTAACATTATATTCAGCATAACTGAAGGTAGGAACTGTTCAAATTAAAAGTATTGAGTGCTACAAATAAAGATTCTCTAGTTCTCAGCATAATGAAAATCTGGGCTTTATTAGGGATCCCAATGTTCAAGTTATCCAAAATTGCTTTTTCTCCAATGGATTTTAAAATTCACATTAATATGAATTTATTGTTGTTACCATCTAAGAGCTGAATGGCATGGAGATAAATGATAGTTATTTCTGCTACAAGAACTACATTTATGGATGGAATTATATTTTTGAATGTTAAAAGAGAATTAAGAAATATAATTTCTGTCTCTGCCCTTCACTTAAAATGTTTCATTTTTGACACTGTACTCTTATTTATACCATATTCTTACGTGTAATTATTCCTGTGCCTTTATTATCATATGTAACCCAGCTGTGACAATCAGCAGTAGTTGTTATCAGAGGAAAGTTGGCAAAACCAAAAAGTTAGTATTTTTAAACCTCAACTTGGCCACATTTCTGCTGAGCACAGTTACTTTTTTTAAGTGGGTAGAGAGAAACAATTTCTCAAGCTAGTAAGCAGTAATCCACCCAAGTTTTTAAAGCTTAGTACCTGATGTGGATTCAGAACTGGATCAGTACTAGTACAGAACAGTGAAGATAAGTACCCCTTCGGTAGGACTTTGCTAATAGTGGGTTAGTGAACAGAGAATTAACTGGTTTTTTAAATTTTTTTTTCTACAGTACAAGTGAGAACTGACTCAACCAGCAGTATAAGTGTGATTGCCTGGAGTCATTTGGCTTTGCAAACTGATGCTCAAACTTCAGCCCAACCACCAAAACCAATGTGGACATACTGAGATTCCTGCAGTGTGGTCAGTGCCCTGACAAATTGGAATTAACTGATCAGAAATGAAAGCTGGGGAGGAGGGTGGGTGCGCACACAAGAGTCAGATTGAGGGCTAGAGAAAATGTTTGCATGTAGCTTTTTGCTTTGTGGATAAGCTGAGGTTGACCTGGTGTGGTCCGTGCACATCTGTAATGTCTTGTTGTTGATCCTTCCTGTTCAAGCTGTATGATGGCGTATGTGAATATTTTAGGGTATCCAGCCAGAGAAATGTCCTAGACTATGTACAAAAAATAAAGCTGTATGAGTAGCTAGAGCTGCCAAGAAAATTACTAGTTCGGCACAGTCAGAGACCCTGAATGTAGTTGATATGTTTGGCAAGGTGATAGAACTTTGGTGCAGATGAAGTACCAGAAAGTCTTGAGAAAAGAAAGGTGGACTGTTTCTGGCTTGAGCTGTTACATCTTCCGTTCGTTTGTCCTGACTTTAAATAGAACACTGTCTTTAATTTGTACATGAATATCAATGTTGTTTAACACACTTATCTTAAGCTGGGCTTAAAGAGACAGGGCACTATATTGGAAAAGTAAAATATACATACTTTATTTGGGTAAAGATTTATAAATGCAGGTTTTGGTATCTTTTAAAATAATGCCTATTATTTAGTTTTGTTCTCATACAAACTTTGAAGGTCCAGTTTTCAGGATGTATGTAGTTCTACATGTAAATATTTTATTTTTGAATGCATTCAGACACTTTAAAAATTCACTTTAGCTTTTTAGTTCCCTAGTGTTTCGCAGCTCTTACCAATTTTCTGCTGATTTTTTTTTGTCCACTCACAAATTCAAGCTGATAAATTCAGACTGTTCTACTCTGACATTACAAGATTACTAGATTTCATTGGCAATTTCCTTGAAGGATTATGGTTCTCTAACAAGGCGGTGTTCGGTTACTGGGGACTTCAGATTTTTAACTCTGGATGGAAGATAGTTGTGGTATTTTCACAGGAGGAATCTTCAGTGTATATAGAATGAAATGGAGAACAGTGAAGAACAGAAATAATGCAGGAAGTGAATTGTGACGAATGTTGCCACTTCACGCCGGCGAACAGCGCTGCGCGGGGCAGGCGGGGGGGCAGACCCGCAGCTCCGCCGCCCCCCGGGGCCCCGTCACTCCCTGCGCAAGGGACCCCCGG